AATTTTAGGTATTAGGCGATAAGTCCACCTGCCCTTTGTTGTCCCATCCCAACGAGTCTGCCACTGCTCCACGCTTTGTGCTTTCGCTGCGGCTTTAAGTGTTGTACGTGGTATATGAGGCTGATCCTGCCGTGCGATTCTTATTTGGGACATCTCCTGGGCCACGAGATCCAGTGGATATAATTCTGCTATAATGAGTGCTGCATCTTCGGAGATAGTTCGATAAGCTGAACATACCCTAAGAGCACTTAAGCGGTATGTAGCATTGATACCTTGTATGTAGGATGCCCGTTTGAAAGCGTCACGCCAGACTGTCGATCCGTAAAGGAGTATTGACCTCACAACCCCTGCCAAGACTTGTCTAGCCTGCTGGCGTGCCCCCCCTATGTTCGCCATTAATCTCGACAAGGCTGCTGTTGCCATCGCTGCTTTCTTGTTTGCTGATTCCAGGTGGTCCCGGAAACAAAGGCGGTGGTCAATCAAGACCCCGAGATATTTTACATACGGCTTGGACTTTATAGTGGTGTCTCCTAATCTGATTCTCACTTTTTCCACCTTCTTTCGGCTAGTGGTAAGAACGACTTCAGTCTTGTGGGCTGCCAGTGTTAGCGATTTTTCTCTTAACCACTCCTCAGCTACTTTTATAACTCTCTCTGCGATGGCTACTATTTTGTCCAGCGTCTTAGCTGTAACGACGTCATCCGCGAAGCCTATGGATGTGACCCCTTTAGAACAGCAAGTCGCAGGATGCCATCATACATAAGGTTCCACAAAATGGGGCCTAACACTGATACCTGAGGTATGCCCGCCATTATTTCATATTCCACGAAACCACTGTCGCTGTGGTAGCGCAACACTCTATCACTCAGATAGCTGGAGATGATTTTTTGCAAGTACCTTGGTACATTTAGGCTGTCAAGTGTGTTTAGTATATTCGCCCTTTTGCAGGTACGTATTAAACACCCTTGCAAATATCTCCGGCCTGGTACTGATCGCTTTGTTAAGGGCGATGTTTGGGACACCGTCTGGTCCTGGCGCTTTATTAACCATGAGTGTGCTCTCTGCGTTGAGCACTTCTTCGGTAGATACAACCGGGATGCTGGCGACAGACTCGCTTACTAAGTTCCTGACGAATTTGGACTGCTGCGGAAAGAGTTCCTTCACAATTTGCTCCATGAGTATTGGGCAAGTTGGTTGTGTAGTTCTCTTTAACTTTTTCATTACTAGCTTATAGGCAAATCCCCACGGGTTACTATTGACTGTAACACATAGCTCTTTAAACATTTTTCGCTTACTGTCCCGAATCACATCCCTCAGGAGCTTTCTACTATCCTTGCATGCCTGTCTCAGCTGTAGGGCATTTGTTGCGTAACGCGAATGCTGGCATATGCGTCTAGCTCTGTTGCACTGCAATCGCAGTAGCGCGATGTGGTCGTTCCACCAGTACATAGGGTTGTGTCTTTTGCGGCAGCTTTGCCTCATCATAGTGATATCGCATGCCGTTGTAATCGCCCTCATAAGCTCCGAAGCTGACGGTTCCACTGATAATGATGTTTCTGCCTCGTTGAAAGCTACTTCGAAAGCTTTTCGTCGAAGTGTTTGGCTTTCCAACCTATGCTTCTATTGGGGAACGCCGTGCTTGCGCTTATTTTGTCGATATCAATTACGATTGCGCGGTGATCGCTGTGGGTGTAGCAGTCGCTGATTAGCCATTTAGCATCTCTGCTCAAACCTCCGCTTATGAATGAGAGGTCTATGATGGAAAAAGTCCCGTTTCTGAAAAAGGTATTCTCGCTGCCGTTATTGAGCAACACCCAGTTGAGTGAGGCTAGCGCATCGCGGAGTTCTCTAACTTTTGGGTTTGTTCTTTTACAACCCCATTCAACTGCTCACGCATTAAAGTCTCCTGCGATGAGCGCTGCGCTTCTTAGTCTAGCGTCGTGCACTAGTTCGGTAATGATAATAATGAAGCTAGCCAAGTCTGTACTGGGTGGAATATAGCAACTGTAGACGTACATGTTGTTTATTTTTGCGCACACGAACCCGACCGTTGACAAAGGTGCTACGAGTTGTTTCGGAGAATTTCCGCAACTCCAAATAGCGAATTTTCCAGTTGAATTACTGACCCACGAAACTCCTTCCGTGTTGTTATATTGTTCGCTTAGTATAGCTACGTCTATGCCTAACGCATACACCGTCTGGCCAAAAAGATCTTGGGCCGCTTCGCAGTGATTTAGGTAAAGCTGTAGCACCTTCAAAGTGTTTGTCTTTTTTCCATCGATGCTTTCACCTGCTGGAATGCTGGACACATTCGGCTCCCAGTCGCGTGACTGCCATTTGCTACGCCTGATGGTGGGTTCGAACATGCGCTCGCCTTATGGTCTGATTTGCCGCATCTGAAGCAGAGACTAGAATGGTCCTGTTCACTTCGGCAGTTACGTGCCACGTGTTCGAAATCATGGCATGTGAAGCATCTAGTGAGGATCACCTTTTCCCTTATACGGCATATAACCCACCCGATACGAATTTTCGATTGGTCCAAGAGCTTCTAATGACAGACTGACTGTGCATGTTTGAGTTCCTCCATAGGCTGCGCGCATGGATCGAACCGCTGATGGCACATATGAATCTGTTAAACGGGCTCTGCGTGTTAGCGGTTACCCAACGCATAGCACTTACATGTAGAATTCTGTTAGGTTTTGATATAGCAGTGCAAGTATGCATAACTGGGCTATAACACACAGCAAAGAAAGTGTGTGCTATGACATGCCCTGACTTGTTTGTGTCAGTTTCAGTTTTGCTATCGCCACGAGTTGTTTCGGTGCGCGCATAATTATTTAAAAATATAAGGTTTGAAGCCAACCGGGGGTTGTCAGTGGATATATAATTCATGTTAATTATAATTTGAATGTATTTATTTAGCCAAGGAAAAAGCAAAGCAGTATACTTAAACCAGCACTTTCTGCAGATATTGACCTGGGTTTTCGCACGACTATTCCTGTCTCATCGTTTCTTTCTAGGAAACTCTTACCACCATATACATACATATGTATTATTTACACTAGTAACTATTTATGTATTTGTTATGCCTAATATATGCAAATAAAAGAAGAAAGTAAACACAACAACCATCGAGTAACTTTTTATTTGTGTCAAACTGAAACTTTTTTTCCAATAATAAACGGTTAGCTGATTCACGTCTACAGCAAGTACACAAAATTAATTGAAAACTTGTATCAACCAAAGCATTGTTTATATTTGCTCAACAATGATTTTATTTAGCTAACGATATTGTCCAATGAAGGTAGTCGGTTTGTAATTATTACCAAGTATATGTACATTTGTCTCAACTAGAAGTCTCAAGTAAATTGCAGACTTTCGCGAACTAGTTATTTATTCGCTATATCCAACTATGCTGCTTGGTCACTATAACGAAATCTTGGTAATTATAACTAAACCTTTTTCTGCGTGTATATGTTACCGATCGAAGCCGACCTTAGGACAAGTTTTGCCTTGGCTAAACTAGAACAGAGGCCACAGTATTTTTGCGCAGAACTTCTTTCCGCGAAGGCGGCTTCCGGTCGCACTTAAAAAAATTACCCTCTTTGGTCCAACTCCAGGTACGCGGTCCACAATATTATTGCGTCCAACTTGTTTCCGCATTGGACGGATATATTGGACCAAGGTAGAACTAGTTTGTCTTAAGATCGGGTTTGGCTGGTAACATATACACCCCGCAACAAACGATAGCACATCACAATTTTTACCAGTTTTGACTACTTCTCTTTTGATTTAATGTTCATTATTTTTATATAAAAGTATAGCTCTTTATCTAACAAATACCATATGGGCATTCCCATGGTGGCGCACGTGACAGTCGTACGATTTCAATGTGATACAAAAAAAGGAATACCATTTGTTTTCTTTAACTTTTTTGGGCCATTGTATAGCAAGTAATTAGCTCTATATTTAACCGAAAAATTAAATCAATCGAACTGCTTGGTCCTGATATATGAGCATTTAAACAGAGTGTCGTTACGTGACAAAAAATGGAAGTTGATTTTTTATTTTCTTTTAAAATCGCAAAACTCTGCGAATTGTGGATGGCTATTTTGATGAAACTTATTTTGATATGATTTGGAGCAATTCTAGTTGTTTTTAGAGTTTTTTGAATTAATGCAAATTGTTTCAATTCTCTTTTACAACCCCAAGTGTGAAACGTGACGTGACGTGGCGTGACGTGACATAAATTTCCATCGTTATATTTTTGTTAATATTGCTTTTAAATGAATTTTCAACGCAAATAAAACATGTATTTTATGTAGAATATACTTTATATTTTGACTTCAGCGCCAATTCAGGGTCAATTTATTAGAAATCTATGATTTATTATGTTTCAACCACATGCGCCAAATTCGAACCAAATCGGACCATAAATACGGTTTTTCGAAATATCTCGACCTTGGCACCACCTAGGAAGACCAATTTATGCAAACATTATTCTTCTTACATAGCCAGTATATATTTTAAAAAGCAGACAAATCGGCCCGTAAATACGTTAGATATAAAACTTTTTTTTTTTTTTTGTCGTGGTGGACCTTCCGCTGGAAACACCCATATACACCTAAATTTCAGACTTTGTACAAAAATTCCACATACTGTTCATCCCAACTCCATGCATTTTAACTTTAATTTCTAGAACAATTTGTGGTATGCAGTTTTATAGCTTATTCTAGTATAATAAAGTGCAAATTTTAATTTGCTAAAAAATCGCGCTGATTTTTAATAATTTTTTTACTAACGGTGTTATGCACTCTTTTCAAATAAAAAATTACTTAGTATGGCAGAAAAATGCGTGATACTGTCTACAAAAAAAAAATTTCAAAAATCAACGCGATTTTTTAGCAACTTAAAACTTGCACTTTATACTAGAATTTAATGATCTATAAAATTGCATACCAAAAATTATTCTAGAAATTAAAATTAAAATGTATGGAATAGGAAAAGTTTGTGGAATGTTTATAATGTATGTACAAAGTCTGAAATTTAGATTTATATGGTGTTTGTTAGGTAAAGAGCTATACTTTTATATAAAAATAATGACAATTAAAAAAAAAGTAGTCAAAACTGGTAAAAATGTTGATGTGCTATGGCTTGTCTCGGGGCGTGCATTACTTTTTCCCACTGGGCCATTACATACATACATACATAAATACATATGTACATACATTTGTACTTTTATTCATAAACAAATTTGTTATTATTTATAATTCCGTGTTTCTTAAAAAAATTCATCCAAAGTATCAAAATAGTTAAATGCTTTCTTTATTTTTTGTGCCAAATCAAAATATTGACAGTCGCTTTTAGCGCTGTCTATAAAAGCCTGCGAATGACTCTGCCATTTTCATCAGATCCAGCACTGGAACAGGTATTACGATTATGGGCTCATATAAGAACTCGGCGAGGACTTCATCACCAGCGGATAACAACCTTCGTACAGTGGGTCATTCAAACTGGTCTTTCGGAATCCCAAACTACTCTGTGAGCTTAAACTAGTTCCCAACGATCGTCATCTGTGATCACTACTTAATGAATAATGTAATTCACTTTCGTCGGCTAATGAATGCGCAGCTGCGCTGGGTGTGATGCTGGGAGTACGTTCTCGAATACGCCCCGCCGACATGTCGCTACCTCGTCGAATACTCTTCAAAGAAATGCTTTCTTGTGAGCAGGAGCAGTGACAAATAATGAGCTTAAAAGCGTAGCGAAAGTCTTTTGAAAAAAGTGCATAAATCATTGGATTTACGGCGGAATTACAGTAACCCAGCCAAAAAAGAATGGAAAAAAGTAGAGGATCAATGCAGTCTTGGCAAAACCCCCGAATAACATAGATGGTGAAAAATGGCAGCCAGCATAAAATGAAGAGTCCTACAATTATGGCAAGTGTTTTTGCAGCCTTCGTTTCCATTCGAAAACGTTTAACTTGCGTTTTGATACTTCGGCGACCGATTTTCTTATTCTGATATTGCAATTGCTGCTGCATATGGTGTTGGCTTATATCAGTTTCTCCAATAATCTTACGAACTTGCAAATATGAGTTATTGCCTTTCTGTTGGGCTAAGAGTTTTGATTCGGTGGTTTCAGTGCCTTTGGCTGAGTTGTAGTGCACCGCGCAAAGCATGCTCCCACTACCGGATGATTGATGTTCACGTATACCAGTTGGTTCGCTATTACTTAGGTCGTTGATAGTTTCACTGGATGCATAGGAAATAGATATCTTAATTTTATCATGTTGGAGTGGACGTCGTGTAGTGTACTTTGAAAGACGTTCAGGAGATGGTGTCCCCAGTGTGGTAGTAGTACTCTGAGAACTGCCATTACTATGTGTGGAATCGTGCTGGTTCGCACTACGGCCTCGGTGAATTCGCAACGTTAGGCGCTGATCGTCAAAGCGCGAACTGATGCCCTTGGATCCTAATGAAAGCACAGAGAAAAAAGACATATAATCGGACAAATATTAATATTAGAAGGGAAATGTTCTGTATAATATCGGTTAGCTTGAGGCTGGTACAAAAAATTAAGGTGGCGTGGGTGATGTCACTTAAAAGAGCAAATGCCTAGGAACTCAATGACCTCTTGAAAACCGGAAAAAATAGGGAAACCATGGTTTATTTCGCTGACAAATGCCTTCGGCCCAAGAACACGATCGGGTTTATAATCCTATCAACAGAAAACTCCTTTCTCTTACCGCAGTAAGTATTATGCATACGGTGACCAGATTTCTGTGGACAAAAATCGGGAAATTTCTAAAGCATCTAATTCGAACATATTTACAATATTTAAAACAAAACAAAGAGAAAAAAAGTTGAAAAATGGTCGCAAAAATGTATAACCCCCAATATATACGGTGGCGAGAATGTAAATAGAGAAGAGACATTTTGGCAAGTTTTGGCTACTTTTCTTTGTTTAAAAAATGTTTATTATTTTCTTATGACGATATACTATCTAAAAAAATATGTAAATCAAAATTTCAAACTTTTTAGAACATTAATAAAATTTCGACGAATTTTAACAAATGAATACCGTTGTAAGCGACATATTTATAAGTTTCCAGGAATGGAAAAAAACGTTTTTGATGACGCACATAAAGTCATTAGATTTAGTTTTCCAATTTTTCGGTGCAGCAGTGTCCAAGAAACTTGTCCGTAAATTAAAATATATATCTATATATATCTTTCAGGTCAAGATTTTCAAAATTTTAATGATAGAGAAACGTTTCATATCCAAATTCCAATGGATGATAACACGTTTTTCCAGTAAGCGCAGCATCTTAGCTGGTGGTGCTTACAACTTTTTTCGACGAATTATTACATTAATTATATAGCAATAAGAGGTCTTTGATTGCTGATCATAGGTCATTTTATAAAAATTGGAGAAATGCTTTTGAATAGTCTCGAATTTGAAGGTTGAGCATTGAAGAGAACAAGCGCAGTTGAAAATCTGCTGAATACAAAAACAAAATTGATATTAGAACAGCTCCTTCACTTACAACGTTTTTCCACATTACCGTTTCTGGTAATGTTTTTTTAATACCACTTTCCCATTTCTCACTAAATATTCTTCCCCACTATTTCTTAGCCTCTTATTTTTCATATCTTTCGAATTTTCGGAGTTTTTGTACGGTTTTTGCCATTATTGCACTTTTGCATTACGCTTGTTAATTCTAAATTGGCCATGGTCACCTGCACTTAAAACTTGTTTCCTCTCACTACTGACTTTGGAGCGTAGGGTAATGTCTGAAAACTGATGGAAATTGAGAAATTTCGCGACCTTATAATACGCGAGAGTATTTTTAACGGTAATCTGCGAAAAAACTAGTTTTGAGCAAATTGGCGCTTGCAACGTTATTCGCGGCGACCATTCAAATGTTGATCAAAATTTTAAACATTTCAATCAGATTTTTTAGAATTGTTTTGAGTGTGCAGTTTCGCAGCCGATTTAATTGTAAGTGTAAGTTTGAAGTAGCTTGGAATTACCGTTGATTTTTGCCAATTTTTTTTTGCGCATTTGCTTCCATACAAATTACGTTCGAAAATTTTTTTGTATAGAGAAAATGACCAACACCTTCCACGAAAAAAAAAAACTACAAAAATCAATGGTATTTCCTAGCTACTTAAAATTTGCTCTTTGAATTGAATGGGCTACAAGACTGCTTACTCAAAATAATTCTAAAGATATAATTAAGAACTTGAAATTTTGATTAAACTTTGTCGATCTTAGCTAACTTCTGTACAACGTTTGAAATTTTACTTACACGGTCTTTGTTAGATAGCGAACTACACTTTCTTAAAAAAATAATAAACATTAAATAATCGAAAGGGGAATAGCCAAAGAATGCTAAAATGTATCTTCCTTTTATATATTTTCGCCGCTGTATCTACAGCAATATTTTTCATATCCATGCATTTTTTGAAGGAATTAGTATTTTTTTATAATTTCACTAAATTCAAGTAAGAATCGTTTATCTAATAAAAAAGAAACTTAACAAATAATTATAAAACCTTCAAAAAAGATCACACAAGAGTAAAGCAGAATATACACAATCGGACTTGTATGCATACTGGGTCCCTGGAGGAAGTCTATATATACACTAGCCAATGCCCGCTTACTTCGCGGCGCCTCATAAGAGCTTTTGCGTTGGCCAATGCAAAAGAGCGTTTAAAAACAAAATTAGTCTGTAAAGTCAAAATTTTTGATTTAAGTTGAAACCACTAAGGCGCAGTATCCTCATCACACATAGGCCAATAATAGTAACGCTGTGATACCATATGGAATACCAATCCCTTTCGGTGTCATGAGCTTTACCGATGGTCTTATTTCCACCTGTGAGATCTCTGCCAAGCATGCGTAATCTTTTTGTATGATCTTGCAACTACAACATTGGTTCGATGCGTATGCCAATAAAAGTTCTTTTAGGGAAACTCAAGAGCACAGAAGTGCGTTTTCTTTATAGGAGGGCCAAGAATCCTCACCGTCCCACAGGATGAAAAGTTTTCCGGTACATTGCTAAATGAGTCGTGTGATCTCTTAAGCATCTTTCAAATGAAGCAACTGATATACCTACGGTGATCTTTCTTTGTTAATTCACCACTTTTCCAATTCGTGGTAAAATTTATGAACTGATTTCTGGGTAGATGCAAGACCGCATGATCGTGCATGAGGGCGTCAGAAAAACTCAACCCCATCCTTCATTTAGACATCTGAAAACTAAATTCGTATAACTTAAACATAGGTCCAAAGCAGACCAACCACACGGGGTTTCTATACATTTCGGATGCAGCGCCATCCATTGGGTTCATTTTCTGCAAAACCATCGCTTACCATAAAATGAATACGTGTTATGAATTTCAACCTTAACTCCAGCGGCACTAATCAGGTAAATTTTTATCAAAAGAATTTTCCAACATACAGGTACATAGCTCACATTTAAAATTTGAACGAAATCGGTTAATAAATACGATTTTTATAAATAACTCTACTCCAGCACCACCTAGCGAGTTTTCTAGTAGCATGTAATTGGACCATATATGTATGTAAGATAACCTCCGACAATCTGACGGAACTCTATTCAGTGGTTTTTGAGTTTATTCCGAACAACAAAAACGGCTATCATTTTATGCAAATAGGTATGTAAATACTCGTAAAAGCAAAGCTCCATTATTTGTGAAACATTTAAAAAAATTCTTCAAAATTTTCACATAAATGCAATAGTTCAATGGGATTTAGAAATATAGGAGAAAATGGTTCCCAATCGACTGATATTTGCGCGTTTACGTAAATGTATATCGATCCAGCCTTTCCAATAATTACCACTTTTCGCCATAACTACGGTATTGATAACATATGTAGCTGTGTAGAATTTCAGGACGTTAGCGTAAGCAGTTCCAGAGATAAGCTATATGAGAAGTTCAATTTGTATGGAAGGAAGGAGCCACGCCCCTTTATACATGCATCAGTGCTAAGTTTCAGTTCCCCAGCGTAATTGGTTTTAGAGATATATTGGTTTTTTACGTTTTAGTCTGTATAAGAATTTTAGGAACATCCCGAGCTACATAGCGAGTAAATTTTTGGTCAGAATATTTATTTTCAAGGTGTTGCCAAATATGAACCAAGTCGGTGCAGCCGTTTAGTAGTTTAGTGAAATACATTGTAAAGAGAACTGTATGAAATTGTAAAACGTGACGTCTCAGATTTCTTAATTTTTTGGCAGCAACAACGAAAAGTTTTAATTTTTTTTTAGCGAAAAACCTTCCACACAGAAATGAAAAAAAAATTAAGTTTGTGGTTATATTAAGGCGAAATTTTGAGAACGGTCCATTGCTAACTCTAAATATAACAACGACGCACTGGAAAAACTTAATACGTTCAAATACCTAGGAATAATAATCGACGATAAACTAAAACAAAAAAAAAAATGGATTCTATATTTTTAACAGAGTACGAAAATAAACTGTACGAAACAATTCCCATTTGCTCATCGATCATCATATCATTTGTGGTTTTGTACAGTTTTGTACATAGTCAGAAACAATTTGTAAGATTCACTGTCATTTTCCCCAACTAGAAACGTTTGCTTTTCGTTTGTGACAATTGTGCCATAGGGTGATATCACAAATGTTTCAGTTACGTGAAAAATATTTTTTTCTGTAAATTTTCATATCCAATTCAATTAAAAAACATTTTTATTTTTTTATTCATTGCAGCTATTTGTTTTGTGTTTAGTTATTGGATATGTGTACATACATATATATATTTTTCTCTGCACGATTCATTTCGTTTGTTGTTTCGTCTGTAACTACTAAACTACTGTAGTGTACTATCGCCAAAGTGAACTCAGCCGTTTTGTTTTTGTATTGTACCGAACTGTTGAAGTAATAAACGAAACGAAATAGTAACGTACAATATAGTTTCTTTTCGTACCCTGATTTTTAATTAGAGCTCTAGCAATATTTACATCGGAGAAAACTGCATTTAATTCCGTACATTAGCTTTTGCGTGATGCGCTTCTCTCTAATTTTTTCTTCTATATTGGAAGCTAGATCTCTGGCGATACATCGGTGAAAACTGCATTCAATTCCATGTTTTCGACTGATGAGCGTACAAATATACAGACGGACAGTGATTCAAAAATCCTAAAAATGTTTATTTGGCTTCTGTAGCTTTAATAAAAACCCATCATATTAATTTTTCTTTAATATCTATAAGGTTCAGACATCGACCTGTTACAATTTTATTATATGTATATCTAAATGTAGATATATATTTCATTTATTTTATCAATTTAATTCAATAAAATTTTTCAAACAGGTGGCAGCCTTCCCTAAATATATTTTCGGCAATAAAATTTCCTAAACCCCTTCAGTTTGATACCCATATTGCAATATTAAATTTATCTTATAAATTAAATTAAATGA